TTTTTTTTTTTTTTTTTTTTTTTTTTTTTTTTTTGATGGCTTAGTCAATCCTGTAATTTTTTAAATTAATTATAGTTATCAGCAAAAAAAGATTTTTACAAAGTTAGCACTTTTTTTTCTAGGTTTTTGACATAGAGGCGAAAAAATTGAAGATATACCTTGTTTTGCTTAGACAGAACTCCAGAAAAATTTAAAAAGATAGCATACTCTTTTTTTGTAAAAATAACAAAAGTATTGAAAAAATATATGTTAGCAGTAACTTTAGTAACAATCTATAAATGCTAAGAAAACATAAAAATAATATTTCATTTTAACTAGTCATTTTGACAGGTACACTGTTTTGCTATAATTTTAGCTGTATATCAGTCTTAAAATTCCATTAAATTTCAAAATTTTCAGGTTGAGGTAGTCAGTGAATCACCGTCGAAGTTTATTGAACTTCGTGGTAACGATATTGAAGTCGTTGAAATTGGCGAAGACGGTGAAGTACAAAGAATTAGCAAAAAGAAGAGCAAAAAGGCATCTAAGCAATCGAAGAAGAAGAAAAGTGCTGAAGATTCTTCAAAAAGGTATTTCTTCGTCCTGAAAATTTTGAGGTTAACAGATATCATCAGACAGTATCAAACTACTGCAGTACAACCAAACAGTGCCGATAAAACATCTGACCTAAATGCTGAAGGAAAAATTGTTATTGTAGATCTCGAAACAGCACTGAAAGTGCAGCAGAAACAAGTGAATCAGGAGACGAGGCAAAAGAAACTGAAAAGCAGACAAATCAGCATATCGTAATCTCAAAACTACTTCATTCCTGGAGGCTTAGACTACAGTCACTGAAATACGGTAGTGTCGTTCGACTACTTTTGAAAAATGCATATTAAATATCTGTTGTTTGCCAACAATTAAATGCCTATTTGATACTGTTAGCTTGAACTTTTAATGTTATGGCAGAAGAAAAGCTGATGCGAAGTTTTTAGGTCATAAAGCTTCTTACACTCTTACAAACACCAACTTCGATAATATTCCAGCAAAAACCGAATCTCGTATTGAACCAATCTTGAATCTTCTGCGTTTCGGAAAACGCAATGAGGCCTTCACTGCAGAAGTACGTTAGATCAATGTTGCTAAGATATTACGCAATTGCTTTGAGTAATTAGAATAAGTGTTAATCAGAAATTTTAAATTATCTCTTATATCAATTTAACAGCTGTGTACTGAACGCTATCTAATATTCTATGTTAATATTAGACAAAAACGTTCGAAAATCGTAAAATTTGACGAATTGTTTCATCAACTAACCAAAATCTATATGCATCTGTCATTTAAAGCTGCTTTTTACTGTCGTAGTGTTACAAGGTAAAAAAGCTAAAATAGATTAACAAAAAGCTTTTTTTCTGTACAAAAATTAACACCTTTTAATCTGGTTTATGCTTAAATTTGTTTTTCATTTACTCTTGATAAGTTAACAAGAAAAAATAAGCAGAAGATGAAATTAAAAAAGCGTTCTAAAAATAGTTTTAGAAATATTACTCATGCCTTCTTATTAGATAACCGTGGTTAGGCCAAAAACCATTGCAAGAGAGATTGTTGAAAAAGAAATTAGGAGTGTATATGTATTTTGTATTTTCTTCTACCTCAAACAACGGAAACTGATTTGAATCTAAAAAGGTGATTAATATCAGTTTCAGTATTTTACCAAATAAAGATTGCTTTGCTAATCTGCAATTCATTTCAGCAGTGGTCAGAAGTTGAGGGTTGCAGAGGAAACAAAGGAGAGAGCATACCAGTTCGTTACAGTCCTACAAGTTGCTTTTAGTTGCATGTCGCTTATTATTTTAACAGTATGCCTACCAATAATGTATAATAATATACAAACAACAATTGACTACGCAGAACGAGAAATGAAATTCTGTGAGGTTTGTTTAACACCACTTTTCAATATTTTTTTTATAACTGAAAAAAAAAAAACCTACAAAAATAATTTCTGGCAGAGCACTATAGATATCGTCTTATAAATGATAAAATAAATGAATAATTGACATTTTATTTAGAGATCAACAAAAAAAGCGTTAACAGAAATAGAATTTGGCAAGACCTTAATGAAGCTGAACAACACCGAAAGACGGGCCTTTTTGAAAAACTCAAAACCGTCGAAGCTTAAAAGCGTAAGTTTTTTTTTCTCATCATTCTTATCATATATCACAGTTTTAAGATTTTATTTAGCTAACACTTTATTTTTTTCGCCTTCAAACTTTGAGAACATTTGAGGTACCGTAGTAAAATTATCTTTAGAAGATTATTAAAATGTTATCAAAATTTGTAAGCATAGCATATAACGAATTATTACTAATGCTGGTTTGCAAATTCTTCATTTATTTGATTAATCTTTACATTTTGTTCTTCACTACTGTTCAAAGTGAGGAATTTGGCACATTGCTTTTAAGAACTTCCGGTTTCTTATGTTCTAAACTTCTGACTGTTTCACACTAAAACCGATTTTTCCAAACACTGGTGTACTGATAATTGTTGTCTGTACAGAGTGATTTAAAAGATAATGAAGAATTTAGGTTGTACTATTATTTGTAATAAACGTCCTATACTATCGTTTATCGGATCTTTTTACTACCTTGAATGTAAAATTAGAAGTTTTTGACATCCACAGGCCGATAATGATGGAAATAATTGTGCTTTAAACATCCTTATCCTTTAAGTGCATCCCAGCTATGCTTTACAAAACACAAATTTTCAACCTAATATTTCGCAATATAGTTGTAGACAAACAGCTGACTTTAGATATTCAAAAGAAGCTTCGATGAAGAGGTTATTGGCATTCCAATCGAAAGTGAGTGCCCTGGTTGCTGTATTCCTGGACCGCCAGGTCCACGCGGTACAGCTGGAAAACCAGGGAAGCCTGGCATTCCAGGCTCTGCTGGCAAACCAGGTTTACCAGGCACCACTCCAAACCAGACTTGCCCGTCGCAATTCAATAAACCGCCACCTCCGTGTCGTCCATGCCCCAAAGGCCCACCAGGAATTAAAGGTTGGCCTGGTTTCCCCGGAGATCCAGGACCGATCGGTCAACACGGCGAGAAAGGTAAGAGTGTGTTAAAACATTTCATCAATGTTTTGCTAAATTGCCAGCTACACCGCAGAAGAACTTTTGAGCTGAATTTTGTATTTTGGTTTAGGAGAAGATGGAGAAGACGGAGCACCAGGCGAACCTGGTCCCATCGGACCCCAAGGATTTAAGGGTAGTCCAGGACCACAAGGTGAAAAAGGACCAACTCCTGACGGCCAGCTTCGTGAAGGTCCTCCTGGTGACCCAGGGCCAATTGGACCTGTAGGTGCACCAGGCTTACCTGGTTTGCCGGGAAGAAATGGTTTAATCGGTAAACTTTTGTCTTTTTCGCTATTTAATGCAGAAATAATCTGACCACGGAAAAAATGTTTGGGAGATGCATAAACCTTTTTCAATCGTGAAGTTACTTAATTAATCAACGATATCGGCAAGTCTGGTATATTTGCAATTATTCCAGGTCCTCAAGGTGAGCCAGGATGGCCAGGACCACCAGGAGAAACTGGCGAACCGGGATATCCTGGACAAGAAGGAGTTGCGGGTGGACAAGGACCCCCAGGTTTAATTCTGAACATATTTTTTAGACTGTGACTGCAAGGTTGAATCAGCAAGTTAAGTATGGTTAATTCTTCTCTAGCAAGCTTAAGTTATTGTAGGAGAGCCAGGAATATGCGTTTGTCAGAACGTTGATTCAATCCTTCTTGTAAGTCCATCAGCTGCCCAACCAAGGCTTTCAGAAGAGGTAGTCGAAAACGCTCCGGGAGAGCTCGGAGGGCCTTTGATAAACTCGATTCGTAACCGCCAGCCATCTAAAATCCCGTACAGGAAGAGAAGACTTCATTAACTCAGTCTGAGCTAAAGAGGTGTCTATTTAAAGCTGTCTTTTAGGGTTTCGTCAGTTCACTTTGCCCGATATTTCGTTGAGAATGAACCACCACATTTTAAACTTGTCTTTGACTTTTCATGTAACTGTATAAGAAGAGTAGTGGGATTTTTAGTTCTGATTTTCAGAATAAACTTTCTCCATAGAAAAATTTTTTTGCCGAAGAACATTTATATGATAAGTAAACTATTAAAAGAGATTTTTCAGAAAAGAAAAAAGATTGACGTAAAATTATATAGTTTTTCATGGGATTATCGGGTCAGAGGTAAAGTTTGCCTCCAAAAAAATTATAGATCATACTGTTGATGCTTTTTTTTGCTTACTGTTAAAATGTTTAGTTGATCAATCACTGTTTTCCACTTTGACAAATAATTTTAAAAAACAGCACGGTTTGCTTTTTGCACATATCTGATTATATTTATTATTATTGAAATTAGTGCTGAAATAGTGAATAAGAAAGTGTTCTGCTGTTATGAATGATAATATTTATAATTTACTTAAAATTTTTATTTTTTCTTTCTGCTGTACCAGTAACCTGATAAATAGTTTTTTTTTCCACAACAGTGTCATTGGAAAATACAAGATAATAAAATGTTGTTGGAACAAAATGTAAATGTTTTTAAGCAACCATAATATTCCATTTGAGGTAACAGGAAACAATAAGAAATTGAGGAAGAAATCATAAATAATATTATAAAGCAAGCAGTTATACTGCTCTTATTTTAGTTTTGTTTTTTGTTCGTTTTTTCAATTGTTTACTTTTTATCAAAAAAACTGCACTCATTTATTTTCACAGTTCGTTAATTTTTTGAACCCTACGAATGGTACTGAGACTGACAACTGCAGTGTAAGAAAAGAAAAAAAAATTAATTATTCATTACACTTTTTGCATTTTATATTATTTTATAAGCCGTATATAACAGAGATTTCTTTAGTAATCAAACTTTAGAGACTTCAAATTTTTTTTTAGCAAAGAGAAATTTATACGTTATTCAGTGATAAAATAGGAAATGACATTTTCGCAACTAAGTCAGTTTTGACTGAACCCAAAAGATAATACATACAGTTATTGTGAGTACAGTCAAAAAATATTTAATTATCTGTTAAATAAGATCATAAAATCACCTACAAGAAAGGCAAGATCATAGCAGTAAGTGAAGAATAAATTTAACAGCAAACTTCCAAATTTGCTGTTCATAGTTTACCCATAATCATTTATTCATCGGCAAATGTTGCCAAACCCGGTTTTTCCTGTGTTTTGCCTGTATCTGATTCCGAAGGCTCTTCAGCGGTTGTAAAACGACCGCCATCCTGGTTAAACCCTTTTTTTTCATCTCTATTCGGATCTGTTTTCAATTGCAGGGAAAGAATTATTCCTAAAAAAAAAAATGTATGTAAGTGCTGCATAAAACTTTTGTTCAAAATATTTCAATTTCTTATTCAAATAGCTTACAGTAATAGCATAAAGATGCTAATAGTGGATGATAAAAATCAAAATTACCGATAAAAAATACAACAAAAAAAAGATAGAAGCCTTCGTGGAATAACGAAAAAAGACGTTGCTTCATCTGTAAACATCTGACCATTCCACCAACATAACTGATACATGCGGATAGCTTTAGCAGATACCATACCGAACGATGTTTATTCCGAAATCCACTGGTACTGTAAAAAAAACAGAAACATTTTGACGTCATTTTGACTGCTAACAATAATGATGCACAAAAAAGATTAAATT